TTTCTTTCAAAGTAAGGCCGTGGGAGTAAAGGTGTTGAGGCGACCGGGGACTCTTAAGTAGGTGGGTTTTTAATCTGCTTAGTCCAACTAGCCCAAAGCTATAATCTGCCTTCAGCTTTCCCAACAGCCCTCAGGGCACTGCTTCTCAAAAAACATTCACTACCAATCAAACTCAACAATTCACAGTGTGTAAAGCTTTTCTTTTTCAATTCTGTTTAACTGGCTGCCAATACCTTTTTTTTTTAAGACGGAGCATTGCATTGACCAGACCACGTGAACTACAGATAAGAATGAGGAGAGGAGCACTGCTGAAGAGCTCGTCTGCTCTGCTGCAGGAAGGATTTACAGAATTAACCCCCAGTGAAAATAAACTGGGAGCCTTTCAAGCCATATTATTACTCTATGGTAAAGCTGTTTTGCTTGCATGGCAGATTTACTCTTCAGTTTGCACGAACATCCAACAAAGGAAACAATCTCATTACAACAGAATGACCTATAACAAATTGATTTTCCTGTGAGCTAAAACTAATGTGATTTGGGGCCACTAGCACCATATAGCATGTTTGTGTCTCACTGTTCTCGCTCACCTTCTTTTCTTTTTACTAGAGTTGGTGCTCTGCAGCTGAGGCATCTCCTGAAAGAAAACGCATTTTCATTTTCAGTCAGATGTTAGATAAATAAATGATTCACATTCACTATAAATGAATTGTAATGCTTCAACCGCAGCTGTCAACTGGCTCTGTCCATCATTTCATAATCAGCTTTATTTTAGAGTTACAATCTGGTGGTTGGAAGCCAAAAAGTCCCAATTCCCCTGAGAAGTGACCCAATACAATCTGGTCATGATCGTTCACATGGCTCCACCGTTCACAATCTGTATATACGTGCATGTGTGCTCCTCTCTCACCATAGAAATAGATCTCCCAGAGCCGGGCCACTTTGTGCTGTCGTCCAGCAGGACCGCTGGACTGCAGGAGCGGCTTGCAGATCGGCTGCATGCGCGGCTGGAGGAGCGGCTGGGGATGGGCGGTGGCGGACCGTCACTGGAGCTCTGCACCGCCTCATACAGGCTGTCCATGGACCCCTCCTGGTGCCATGTGGACAGACAGACAGACACGCAGCTGTTAGACAGTTGAACTAGATTTATGAATGGATTTCACCCATCCCGTTGTCTGATCGATCGGTACTTTTGATGAAGCACACAGTGTGCACATATCAAGCAGGGTTTATAAGTTACACGCTTCATGTCAGTGGTAAGGAAATGCAATGCAATGTTGAAAGTTTAAATAATGTCTGTTTGCAGAGAGAAAACCGAAAGAAATATACGAGAAAGCTCACGTACATCTTCTTGCATTGTAAGCAGAGGCAGAGCATCACAAGTAGCGTTATGGGGATTTGATATGACTGAAAGGATAATGCTGCTTGTCCACCACGGATGTAGGGGAGGATTGGAATTCCTCTGCACAGATTTCAGTGTGGATTAAAAATGTGCTCCGCTTGTCTGGATTCCTTCTAGGAACAAGTAACCAATGTTTCTCTTTGTCCATCTCGTCTGTCTGTAGGATGACATCTTATCTCTTTGCAGAGGAGCGTTTGTAGTGGCAACAAAGGAAGGCATTTTGGTTCGCAATGATCATCGGTTTAAAAGATCAGCCTTTTTAGGTTCGAGCTCTCATAGTGTGTCCCTGTAGGTCTCGTTGTATTTTATCTTCTTCATTGGAGAAAATCGCAATACTGCCTCCCTTTTATTCGGTTTCTGTAAAATGTTGAATTGTGTCAACAGTGTGTAAACAGTGTCATTTACACCAAACTACATTTATTTATAATGTCCTAAAAGCTCATGAATGAGTGAGTACAAATAGTCATCATGCACGTGAGGTGGAATAACAGCAACACAGCGGACAATCGGTGCACTCGCAGTTCAAGCCTCCGTTTATTGAAACAAGACTTTGGTAATATTCCTGATTTATTGCTCAACATTCCCAAAAGTCCGTTAACTTGTATACTCGTGCCCATGTGTAGCATGACAGCTGCAGCAGCATCTTGAGGGACCATATGTGGCAGTGCTGCTACCGCACACTTGTTTTCACCTCGGTCGCTTCACTTTTCAATACTTTATTTCTGTTTTCTCCTCCAGAGTCATGAACGCGTCAACTACTACATAAACAACAGAATGCAAATATAGTACTGCTGCATGAATTTAGAGATGCATTTTTTACATTTTGTGGCAGTTTAGATGTGGATTGTGCAAAAGGAGAAACTCAATATCAGAAGGATATTTCTAAAGATCAGTGGATTAATGATATGACTACAACAGTAAGAGCCTCAGTAGATCAACAGTTGCCTGGATCACGTGCAGCTCATTCAGAGGCTGAAACACTTAAAACAACCTTTTACATGTTTTCCCGACACTGAATTGCTTACGCAGTATGCTATTATTTACAGATTGTTATTATGTTATTGTTATTATTTACAGATGTATTACTTGTGGCCAAGCTGACATTTGCATCAAAGGGCTAAAGTTCTCGTCCGCCTAAACTACACACACACACACAGGCAGTTTGGCAGAAGCAGAAGTTAAAAGTGTGTCTCTTACCAGCGAAAAGCAGAAAAGGTTCATGTTGGCTGCTTGTGTTGGTGCGTCCGATGGCTGTGCAACAGTGTGCTGAGTGACAGCCAGCGACTGAGAGACACAACAGCTCAGCGTGAGCCCAGCCCGGGTCGCCTGCTGTCTTCTCAGATTAATACCACTGTGAAATCCCTCCACTAATCCAATAGATGGACCACCATTACTCTACCAGCTGCAGAACGCACTCTTGACAACAGGCCCACCAGTGGTGGATCAACAGAGGGAGTCTTTGTTTTGAACCTTTTTTTTTAATTTTTTGCAGGGAAGCTGTTTTCAGCGTCGATGCTCTTTTTATGACCTAAACTCAGTGGTGAAATAAGTATTATACACATATTTGCTTATTGTATTCTTTACTTAAGTAAAAGTACCAGAAGAATAATGTAAAAACACCCAAGAACAAGTAAAAGTCCTGCATTCAATATCTCACTTTGGAAATATTTCTGAGGTCTTGTCAGCAAAATTAAAAAGAATACTGTGAGAAAATGTCCTTTGTGACCAATATATTACGACATAATTGGATTGTTAATACTGGTGCATCAATGTGCAAACAGTATTTTACTCTTTTATCCGGTGGAAGTAGTTACTGTTTTTACGACTTCATACACTGGTTGTTAGAGATGAGATGATTAAAGGGGAAAGAAAACTGAGAGGCGCCAACTGCATGTATTACAAAAAAGGGAACAACTGGTTATGTATTTTATTTTTTTTTGTCCAGTAAAACCTTAAACTGAAGTAATCAGTGACTACGTCTGTCAAATAATGTGGTCGTGTAAAACGGAAAACTGATGCAGTCGAATAGACATTGGAAGGGACCATGAAATAGAAATATTCAAGTGAAGTACAATACCTCGACAGTATGGAGTAAATGTACTTTCCACCAATGCCCATGAGATGCCTCGTATGCAGTCAAAGAACATTGGTGATGCACACTAATCAGTCAGCCTCATCATCATCATCATCTTCTTCATGAAAACATCTTATCAGCTGTGAGGCGATGAAAGGCTTGATCCTTAAGGCTTTTTTATTAGATGCATTATTCAAAACAGTTGTATTCTACCATTGATTGAACAATTGATTGATTATTTTAAAGATGTATTGTTTATATCCCCTGGCATGATTTAGTAACTCTTTAGTAAATCTAGGTCTAGTAAATCTCAGTCTAGTAGAGTGCCAAAATGACAGCAAGAGCTTTAATAATGTAAATAACATCTCCCCCATGCAGTCGTCATTTAGACAAACACATGATAGGCATGCTAATTCTCACATTCTCAGCCAGCCACGGCTCTTTCCTGTGTGGGCAGCAGGTGAGAGGAGTATGTTCCCTCGTGCTCTAAATGTGGCTTTCTGCAACATACTGGCTTCTTCAGAAGGCAAAATAATTTCTCTAAATGATGGAAAGTTGTTACATTTTGGGTTTGGGGAGAGTCCCCTAAAACTAGAAAGTTTTGCATGCAGTGATTTCATTTTTCATCTACGCCTCTTGGAGAAGTGCAATATGTGTGTTTTAACCTATAACACAGTAACACAGTTCTATTAATCCGCCAATCATCCACGTTTGATATCTGAGCTGCTCTAATGTAAAGAAGGAACAGCCGGAGAGATTAACACTTATGACCTACATTTTAATGAGGGAATGATTTGCTATAAGTGGAATGATCTCTGATGCTGGAAAGTATCTTAAATCCACACCATTCATTCAGCTCAGTCAGTTCACTGTGGTATTATAATTGTGTTTGTGATCTGAAAAAAAAAACACTTTTAAAAAAGAACATCAATGATATGCGAAGGTTAGTGATCATAGAAATATTAAAGGCCTCGACACTTAAGAATGAACTAAACAATCATTCCCACTGATTTCAGCCCGTTGCAAAGTTAAAGGGTCTCTTTACCTCTGTAGTCATCTTTTAACTATACGCACTATCACGCCATCGGTGTGTGACCGAAACAAGCTCTGCAGTGTTTAATTCTGGACATGGGCCCAGACTGCCAGACTGTACTGTGCGTGTGTGACTGACATTAACAGGGTGTGGCACGGCCATGGAATGAGTGAATGCCCGGCAACATGCACAATCCACAATCCATTATGTATGACTCATTGTTGAAATTAATTTGTTTTATTGTCTGCATCAAAGAGAAACTATTTCAAACAAATTGAAATAAAAGATGTATTCTTTTTCCATTTAATGATTTTGGCATGTGGTGTGTCAGTGCAGATGATACCCTAAAGGGTGTGTGTGTGTGCGTGTGTGTGTGTGTGTGTGTGTGTGTGTGTGTGTGTGTGTGTGTGTTGGGGTGTGTGTGTGTGTGTGTGTGTGTGTGTGTAGTTGCCTTGCTTCAAGCAGTAATTGTTTACAAAAGACATGACAGTAACTACTGTGTTGATTTAGTGTTTAATGAATGACTCTAAAGAGTTCAACATTTTTACATTTAATTGAAAGTAAAAGCAAATCAAAGACAGGAAAGTCACATTAAAATCATATTGACCAACAAATCAGCTTCCATCAGATTCAGATTAAAGTCATTACTTTTTCACAAACTATTTTCATTAATCAGAAAGCGAAAGGGAATGCAGAGTGGTGACTCAAGGGCACAAGTCGCTGGTGCAGCAGGTTGTGAGGTGATCTTCGACACAGAACTCCTCGCAAGTTCGAGAAAATTGGGTATCTGTTGAAAAAACAACAAGAACAATTTGCGATCACTGAACCATCCCTCTGTCACTGTAGTATGTATGGCTTCTCCCAAAAAGTTCAACACAGGGAACAAGACCAACGTACCGCTCTCGAAGGTCTTGCAGAAGTAAGATGATTCCGGGCAATCTGTCACCTCCTTACAGATGTCGTCATTCTCATCGCCACAGGTGTAGCATCTGAGTGTGAGCACTGATGAGAAGACAGTAGGCAGCGTTTAGGAAGTGGGAAAACATTTTCACTGACATGAGGTGTTTTCCTTCCTCTCGACGTCGACAGGTGTAATGCATCAGTGATCAAATCAAGTGGTCCCATTATACCTAAATATTCTACAAGTGTTTTTCTTCAATTTGACCTTTTGCTTTAGTAAAAATGACGGCAAGAATTTGATTATAAACCAAAGTTGGCTCACCTTGAGCGCTGCACAGCAGCAGCATCAGCGTAAGAAGCAGGACCTTCATGTTGTCAGATGATATGCGGACTAACACCCTGCACGGACACTTTTATACTGCCACTGACGCACCTCATGCCAAACTGGAAATGTGGTTATGCACTTCCTTGTGTGTGATAATCCGGTAATTGTACATTCCTATTGTTCCAGAGAAAAGACGCCTAAGCGAACAAAGAGTCGTTTGATTTGCTTCATACTTTTGCAAGGTGTCGTGTTCGAGGAAGAACAGCTGAGTTTTCTTTGAACCCTCTTCCTTAATGATGCTGTTTGTAAAGATTAACTTTACCTCTGAACAGGATTATATGGATTCATTTCAGATTGTACCAGATTATATCGGATCGGATCATAGATTTCAGCAGGTCTCATTCCAACTCTTTGTCAGATCCCCTGGCATCACTTTATAACCCTCTGGACATCCCGGGACACGGTCGCAGTAAACACGTCGTTAGCGTTTGGAATTTGTGAATTGTTTAGGCAACAAAACCACTTAGTTAGGTTTGGGAAAAACATCATGGTTGGGCTTTAAATACCTACATAAACAATGTCACAAACATCATCTTAACCTTAACCTTCACATATGAAGGTCTGTGCAAACCACAGTCTGCAGGTGCATCCTCTGTTTCTGAAGGTGACTACAACTTGAAGTCGCCCTTTAGCGACATCTGTAGGCAACAATGGAGAAGTGCAAGAGAGTTTGTGCATGAGGATGTCTTTTTCCTCAGCTCAAAAGAAGGAACAAGCAGGCTGAGGCAAACACACGCTAAGACATAAACATCCATGTAAAGATTTTGTTTGTCGGTATCTTCATTTAGTGAAGCGTGACCACACAAAATGTTTGCATTACAACAAATCACGGAAATGTTGCATTACAAAACATGCTGTCAGGGTTCCCACTCATCATTGAAAACCTGGAAAACAGGTTTATTAATTATAATAACCTCCATTTTATTGTGGGGGGGGGGGGGGGGGCAACTACCGAACCTACTGACTCACATATAGACATTGCCATGTCACACCAAAAGTTACCTTCTCATGGTAGACTGCAAATTAACAATAAAGTTGCTGTTACAGAACAGAGAAACCATTTCTACGAGTGGCCCTCAGGCTGGCATCAGATAATAGATGAGTGTTTACTTGGTACCCTCTTCACCAAAGGAAATATTTAACAAAGAACAGGTTTTATGTCTTTACACAAAGAAAAAAAAAAGTGTCTTGTTGTCAAGCTCTGGCTTGCTCTTCTCTTATGTAGAATAAAACGTTCAGCCCACTGATGTCCCTTAAGCACAATTAAGTGGTCTGAACTGCACTTTGTCAAGAGTTCAACACCACTTTGTCATCGTGTCATTTATACAATATATAAACAAGGACTGTTAAAGTCGTGCTGAAGAAAAGCCAATAAACAAGCTGTCACGCAACCATTCACCGATCACGTGTAGACCAGGGGCGTAAAGTGCAGGCAGTGGGGCCAGTGGTGGAGGCCTCTGGAGAGAGCAGGGCCCGACTCCTACAAAATGACGTTCCCATTCAACTAAACTGCACTCTCAATTATGTTTGAAGGAAACATGTTTTCTCCAATTGAAATTAAACTGAACTAAATATGCTACAAAACTACTTTGTTAAGTTTAATAAAAAATATAAATCACGGTTTGGCTTCAAATGTCTACGAAATTGAAACAAAACAACATAAAAACTCAACAAAAGTAGTTCACCTCCTGAGTCAAAGCCCTGTGTTGTTTGACTCATCCTCCCTACGCTGACTTCCGCAGACTCATTTTAAACGTATTTGTGATCCTTCAAAAGCAAACGTAATCCACGAAAAAATATGCTAGCCTTGAAATGTAAATCCAGATGCAGTTTTATTGTAAGGGAATGTCATTTTTAGGCTAAATGAACTATACAAACAATTGTTGTTTGGGCATTTCAGTCACATACAGATATGCAATGATGATATAGTATATTTGTTGATATTGTCCAATATGATGTCTCTATTAGATCATCTGACGAGATGATACGATGATGTGTGTGTGTGTGTGTGTTTCATAAACAGTGTGCACTGGGGTCATTTTGTAACTACCTTACTCCACTTGTGTAGACAGCCCGAGGCTTCATTGTGCAGCTGTAAATTAACACATGGAAGCTGCCGACCAGTGTTTTCTACTGCAATACCAAAAATATTCTTGTGTTTCTTCAGCAATAAAGTCACAATGACTACATTCAGGTGTTGCATTGAAATCTTTATTTGCAAGCAAAGCAACGCAGAACGTTTTTCTGTATCAATTAATAAATAAAAGTTTAGTTGGTAAACTGACTGAAAGAAATCACATTAATGATGAAGGAGACAAATATCTTATGAGGAAAACTGGCACTAAAGGTGTGATTCACTTATGAGGTATACTCAAAGGAATTAACAACATAACAAATCAGTCAGTAATAAATGTAGTTATTAAAATGGAGAGCGAGTCATGTAAAATATGAAGTGCTAACTTGTCCGGGTGAAGTTTGCATGTTCTCCTCGTGTGTGAGTGGGTTCTGTCCGGGTGCTCTGCTTTATTTCATCCGGCGATGCCTCCCACAACCCTTAACAGCATCATTTAGAAGATGAACTTGGTCCCTGGAGTCACTCTGCTAGTGTGACTAAAATATAGCACATGTTATCCTACAAACATAAATACTCTTCCTCTCAGAAGAAGGCGAGGAACCACATCAGTGATATATTGCATAAACACGGAGCCACTGTGTGAGGCCGCTGTGATCTAAACAATGATGTTTAAACTACATTTATACAGTTTATATAAACACTGTAATAACTCGTATATCAGAGTCACCATACCTGTTTCATCTTTTCGTTGAGCCACCAAATGTGACCTAAAAAACTGTCCTTTTATCCAATCAGCAGTCATTTTTAAAGATGATAATTAAAAGCATCTCTTGAATGTCTTGATTCTTGACATCTTGCTGATTTTCAACAATATTTATCCACATAAAATATCTAAACTATAAATTAATAGTTGCTCGGTTAAAGGCTTTATCGCTGAAACACATTCGTTTTATGGCAAAATCTGGTATAAAAGTGAATGGAACATGTCTTCATAATTGTTCTTAATTAGAGTTAAAGTTTCTAAAGAATAGAGCTCTTACTAAAGGCAAGTTAACATCTTTAAACTGGCCAAGAACTGTATTTCATTTTTATAATAGTGGGTGATACAATACAACCAACACGGGCATATTACAAACTCGCCTCATGCGGTGGAAAGACTAAGATGTCAGATTGTCCTGCTCCGTGGCTGCTTTTCTGTCCTCCACACTGTCGTCTTCAGATGTTGATTTCTTACTTCTGCGGAACAGAGACAGATTGGTATTTATTTTTGCAGATAAGCCATGTGTCACAGCAGCATTACTCTAGCCAACAACATGTGGAGAGATCTGTTAAAATTCTACATATAGTAAACTATGTATTATCCAGTTTATCATAACAGAAATGAAATGAGATATAGAGCTGAATGGACCTACATAATGTTTCAGTTTGCTGCCATGTGAGCAAAGAAAACTCTGCACCTGTTCTCGTGTGCTGCTTTTCTTACTTGGATCCTTCAAACTTCCTCTCTCGATAGGAGTCGCCCTTCTTCATTAGGTAGAGAAGGACCATGTCACAGAAGAAAGCTCCCTGTTAAATGAAGTTCTGTTCAGTGAACTCTGCAGTTCTTTTAAAAGCATTTATTAAACACATTATTATTAATGGTACTTACGGCGCCCATCAAAGCCAGCCCTGAACCAACGTTTATGAGTGTTGGGATGATGCTGAACTTCCCGGCCTATAAATAACAGCAGAAATACATATTTTTTTGTTTATAACGAATCACAAAATCATTGAAAAAGCTTACAGTTAAAGGTAACGCCTGTCTTTTAATAAAAATGTCATTGAAGGTGATTTAATCTAGATTTGTACTATCTGCTAATGTGCTCATGTATTGCATCGGCCGTTTGAATCATATCACATCATAATGCTGAGGCAGAGAAGACATTATTTATATGCATTCACTCTTTTAAAATGGTGTTTACCTCTCCGTGCACCATGATGTTGAATCGGATACCATAGACTTTGAATAGGGATCGATAGCTCTCACCAGCAGCATTTCTAAAATACCGAGTGTGTCTGATGGGAGGAAAGATGGAGGAATGAGAATACAAATATACAAGACACAATTCAAATGTGGGGATAATTTTCTCCATTGAAATCTAAATAAATAAAATCAGATTGTTGGAGAAAACTAGAAATATGTGTGTGTGTGTGTGTGTGACGTTGCAGCATACACGAGACGATCTCACCTGAAGTTAAACCCTGCTGCGATGGTCTGTTTGGAGACGCTGATGTCCAGACGAGTGAAGTAGTACTGTGGATGGCAGTGAGAGTAGCCTTTGTCGAGGTCACAGTACCACTCTATCATAATGCCAATGGAGGCACCCTGCAAAAACAACAACAATACAAATTTGATCATATGTGACTTCGAAACCATGTCACTCATAATAATGGTGCATTCAGGGCCAATGGACACCAATGGTCTCTCCTTCAACACATATATACTCACTCAATAATCAGTAATTAATTATACACGAGGGTTTCTGGGCTGGTACTTACAAATGTGGCCATGTCCTGGAAGTTGTATCCAGCACGCCTGGTGATGTCACCCAGCCGAAAAATGGGGCAGTAGGGGTGGAGCTCCTCGTCGAATCTGCATTTCCTCAAATAAGAGTCGTCAGTCGTTTCAAAAACGTTGGACCTGAGAGTAAAGAAACGCACATACAGAGTGTATATGAGTGTGCACTGCTCACTGTTTCTAGTTTACCAAGCAGTACACGAAGAGATTCATGTTCAAGAAGTGGACATACTTTGAAAATGTGAATTTCGGAAAATTGATGAAATTCTTGATGTAGATGGTGAAGTTTTCAGCGTTTGTCAGCAGAGGGCCTCTGTAAAGAAAGAAAATGTAATTATGTGCCACACATTCTGTACCTTGCAAATAAAATAACTTGGTAATTAAGTATAAGGG